GGTCTCTATGTTCTCACAGAGTCCGATTTCTCTCAGCTAGTTACGGAAGAAAACTACCCATACTACAAAGAATTTGTGTAGGGGTGGAAAGAAGCCATTGTACCCGCACACCTCAACCTCACAAGAAGAGGTGCCAGGGTGTCCGCTGGAATAAGGCCATAGACAACAAATTTAAGCATGAAAATTGGTCTCGTTGCAGAAGCAGGCTGTTATGTAATGATGTATAACTGCCCAGATCTGCAAAACCCGTATTGCCTTAATGGCACAGTAGGGTTCAAATAAATACATAATAATAAGAATTAACTAATTGTTTTCATATGTAGTAGAGTAATTACTGGAACAGTTTCTATCCCACCAATCTATTAGACATCAGGCACCCACCGGCAATGACTTCATCCCTGTTTGAAAAAATTAAATCTATTTCTCAAGCTGTTATATGATACCTGAATTTTATTACATTTGACATTTCTCTAATACAGTTACTTTATTGATAGGTTAAACTGTACTGTATCCAGGAGTACTAACCCTTATTTCTCCTTAAGCTATTTATTGAATTCCTTCGTAATTTTTATTTACTTGTTTATAGTAGTACCAATGTGAAATGGTTAATTAGTTTAAATAAACATAATTAAAGGTACTTCAGATAAAGAAATTTGAAAAATTAGGTATTTAAGCCCTGTTAGAGAACACCAATGAGGATAAGATCTACCTTAAACTAAAAATCACTTTTTAGTACATTGATATAATGAGTTTAATCAAAATCTTTTGAACTGTTTTGGAGAAAATTGTAAGAATGTGTTAAATAGATTAAAAGTATAAAGTAGATTAAGTGGCACTTCTGATTAACCGATTTTGACGAAAAAGATGGAACTAGTCTGTAACCTTCCATACTAATAAAAACCTTAAATACATAATTTAATTTTCGTGGGACTTTTCGTTTTTTTGCAAGGCTGTTTACTCACATACGCAAACAAAGACCATTTGATTATTTGGACTCGGGGAACGTCAAAACATGTATTCCATTGAATTTTTTTTTCTCAATATTGCTAGAGAAAAATGGATAATGTTTCCATAATTAATTGCAATAAGTCCGGGCTTTGATTTACTCACAGTCGGTCCATTTCCATTCTTGAATCATCAAAATATCCTCGGATCTTTGTTTTGGAATACTAGTTCGTCAAGCCGGGCATTTTATTTTGTTTTACCTACACCTGAAGGCTACTTAGATGGGAATCTTGAGATTCAATTCTTACCACATCTTACCTTAAACGTTTCTAGCCTGCCATTTTTTGTTTATCCAAGCTTACACATATTGCGATAACGTTTATGTAATGTCCACCAGCGGATTCAAGTAAGATGGGCCTTTCCAACCAAAGAATCCTTAAGAGGAAAAATACATAGAATCAAATTTAGCGCCCACTGAGTACCAACTAATTTAATGTAGCTTACTCCGGTATTCTCCCGATGGTTAGAAATTGGTAATGAAGGTAAACTTGATTTTCAATATTTCAACAGTATGGGTGTCTATCCTACTGAGTTAGTTCTGTTTAGAGTCTTTTCCATGCAGTATAAGCCTCTTTTCCACCCGTCAGCAGCAAAGGATTTTGATAAACGATGTGTCAAAAGATACAGAATTTTATAAAGGAATAACGAATCCCGATTCGAGATATATAATTGGTGTACAATAAAAATACCAGTACTCAGTGGAAGCAAAATTTGATTCTCTACAGCTTTGATTCTATTGTTTTGTTTTTTTTTTTCTCTTAAGGAACTCATTTTCATGCTACAGGGCCATTTATAGTAATTTGTCTCAGTTTTTGACCAATTTGGTAAAAATCAGCGTTGGTTGACCGTCGTTTTATACCTTACCATGTAGCTAAATTATAAAGTTTGGACGCACAATTTAACTTTCTTTAATTTATTAAAGAATAAATTTTTCGTTTTGATACATCGTTTAAGAGTTATAGGCTAGGTAAAAAAATATCACGAAAAACTCTTACTTTTTACGCTGTAAAAAGTTTTCCCTTGGTGGCCCGCGTTAGCAATTTTGTTCTTTACATGCCTAAACCCATATATACAAGTTAAAAAAATAAAAACTTTTCTCACATTTTTCGCAATGGATTTCCCGTTTCGATCCTTTAGTTACTGGCCTAATATTCTTTAAATCAACTACCATTTTTGAAAGTAGCGGCTCTGGAACGGCAGACAAGATTCTTTTTACTGAGAATAACATACACTTTTGCACTAGCGGATCCAGGATATAATTTTGGGGAGGGGAGGCTTCAGCCCGAAAGATTTTTTTTTCATATACATATAACGATAATTAATTTGAAAAAAAAGAAAGAAATTAATTACCTATATGAAATGGTGTTTAAGTGGTTCTTGAAGTCCTATGAAATGTAATTAAATGAACAAGAATACTTTAAGAGATAGTTTTTAATATTTTTTTCTGTAAAACGAGATTATATTTTACCATTTTGGGGGAGGCTTCAGCCCGAAAGCCCCCTTTCCCCGTAGATCCGCCTGTGCACTTTTGTAATTTACAATCAAACCTTCGCCTGCGATGAGGTCGATTTTTGGACCATGACTCCAGGACTCAGGCCACACTCAGTTCTCACAGTTCTTTCTGTTTTTTTTTTTTTAGCTAAATATAAACTTTTTTTATTGTTTGAAAAGTGCAATATCAATCTTATATACGTTCTTTAACACTTAAATTCTATTACAGCTAATAGATTAAATGTTCGCATTTTTTTTCCGTACAAGTTCCTAATAAAATTTTATTTCTCAAGTTGTAACATTTGTATATCGTGTTTACATGTCTGTAATGATGTTGCCTTTCTCTCTGTCAAAATAATAATAATAATAATAATAATAAAATAATTGAATTCTGGGTTCATTGTGTCAAGCCCGTAGTAAAGAACTACTTTATTGGTGCAGGAAGTAGAACACAGAATGGGCTGAACATTGTTCAATGAGCAAAGAAGAAATTATATGTGCAGGAATTTCGGAAATATTGTGAAGAGGTGAAGGTTAGAAAGAGATAAAATAGCCCAAGCATCAGTTTATTATAGTGTGTCTAAGATAAGATTGCCTTTAGGGGAAGGGAACTCGCGCAAGCATTCTCTTCTTAAGTTCAACCTCTTCTCCTCGGCATAGCAATCACCTCAGAGAAGGAACGCATTTTTCGATGTTCCATTTTCTTCTAAATTCTAACTTCGTATAAGAAATTTCTATTTGTAAAAAAGTTTTAGAAGTACGTACTAATGAATAGAGAGAAGATAAAAAAGTGGGGGGGGAGGAGATTCGGCGGGGGAGTATATGAGGTTTACAACATTGATTGTACGGTTTATTTAATTTTTTAGGAAAAACAACAGTGAAAAATAATGATATGGTGTGGTATTGATAATCTTGTCATTAACATGAAAATTACCGCAAAAATATAGATTATTAAAAAGTGCTATATCAGCCGTGATAACATGCATTATAAATATGAGTTTATTGAGTCGATAGGCATTTACTAATATTGACTTGGTACCGATAGGTAACTATCTGTTTTCGTACATAATTAATTTTATTATTTGTTGTTAGGTGTTTTATTCACTTCCTGATTAACCCCACCCAAAATCAAACCCTTGGTTCTTGATTAAACTCAAAATTTAGAGTCTTTCTTGACTACTGAATAACGTCTGCATAAAATCATTATTTACATTGAAATGACAGTAAATGTCCATTTCACTTCTGTTTATTAACTCATGTTATCTATTCATATAGTAATTGTAATAGTGTGTCTTATTCTTCATTTAATTTAATTGGTTATTATTTATTGCTAAGAAGAAAAAGATGTTATTCACTGGTTTTTGGAACGTTTTGTAAAAAAAAATTGCTTAGTCAAAACAATTTAATTAACTTAATTTCATGTGTGTATTTAAGTAGTCATTTTGATTAGTTTAGTTTCTTTTAGTTTATATACATTTACTCTTAGTATTATTGTTTTGCTGTTTATTTATTGTAAATAGAGTGTGATTGTAATATTTCTCAATATAGAATTGAATTCAAACTTAATTTACACGAATTAAAGTCATCTACCTTCGAAATAAGAATTTCAGTTTAAAGCAAACCTTGGAAAGCAGAATGAGGGTTGCCGAAAAGTGTTTCATGGAACAAGTTGCGCTATCAAAATGTTTGAGGGCACATTTTGATGCGGTTTTAATTTTTGAGGGGGCATTTTTCGACGTGGTTATAGATTTTCGGAATGAACAGTTCCAAATATGGGAGTAAGGGGAAAACATGTAAAAGATGACAGCTAGTTTAATTCTATATGACTGCATTTTTCAAATTCTTCTTTCACTTGCACTATTTTCAAGAAGGGGAAAGCAATAAAATATCTTGAGAAGAGTAAGGCTCATACGTCATCGATCTTGGGGATGATGGGAGGGGGAAAGTAGACACCCCTGAGCAGGATATACTTTTAATCACTTTATTTAATGTAAAATGAGAAGAAAATTAAATTTTATGTTTAATGCATAACATTATGAAAGTTGGACTACAAATATAGTCGAAACAACTGTCATTAAATGATAATTTTTAGCTAATTTACCAAATATCTTGTGATCATCCATAATGAAGTGGAAACTTCATGAATTTTCAAAATATGAGAAGAATGTGATTGTGAGAAAAATTGAATACAAATTAGAGGAATCATATTACTTACGAATTTCCTGGTTTTAATGAGAACAAATAATTAAAAAAGAAAACATCTGCCCACTCTCCAAAAAAGTATTAAAGAACTTAACACATAAGTAGGGATCCATCTTTAGAATCCTTAAGTTCTTATGTTTATCCTAAATATTATTCGATATTTGAGACATTTAAATTATGTATTCATATAATCTGAGGAAAATTTAATTTGTTTCTTTTGATTTCTAATTTTAGAATAGCTGCCTCTTTTTTTTACATAGTCAACTTTTTCTACTGTTTTGATTAAATATCGTCTCCAATTTACAGGTTATTTTGTGAAGAGAAGCTATGGCTGCAGCCTCAAAGTAAGTTTTAATAATAAGTTGTTGAGGATTCTTATTGCAACAATGGGTGACAATCAGGGGTTACCCATCTCCTTCAAGGTCGATGGCACAAGAACCTTCTCAGGCTGTAGCCCCATACCTACTCCCCTTCCCCCTCCTCCCAACTAGATCTTTCATTGCTCACCTTTTCCTAAATACAGATCAAGCTAAGGTAGAATTAGAAAAATCGTAGATCATATACAATTATGCTTGATGCGGTAGGTACCATGTTTTTCCAGTTGTTCCTTACTCCGCAAATTCATAACCGTCGAAATTTTTCCCCTTCAAAAATTCAAAAACCCATCAAAATATGGCCCTCTCAAAATTTTTGATGGCGCAACTTGTACCATGTAACCTCCTTCTGAGCGCCCCTGGTGAAAATTGTAAAGCGCATTAAGGGATACGATTGAAAATCGGATTTTGTTGATAGTACATATATCTCCAGTTCTCTTTGCGTTATCTGACAGTAATGATAGTTATCGGAAAGGTCAAAGTCCGCTCTTCGAAACTTTTGTGTTTGGTTTCATTGGCATTAGTTTTGATTGTGCTACAGTGTTTGTCAGTAGTAGTATAGAATTTGTCAAATGAAAAAGGACATATTTTGCTTTTTTATTTAACAAAAGGCAAGCGAATTTCGGAGGCCCACCGAAAGACATGTGAGGTATACGTGGACGAGGCCTTAACAGAAAGTACCGCTCAAAAATATTTTGTCAAGTTTCATTCTGAAGATACACCATGCTACGGTCGTCCCACCCTCAGGCGGATCTATGGAGGGGGGGGGGGAGGAAGGCTTTCGGGCTGAAGCTCCTTACCACCTCAAAATGGTAAAATATTACCGTGACTTAAGACAAATATATTAAAAATTACTCTAAAAGTATTATTGTTCGTGTGATTAATTACATTTAATAGGACTTCAAGAATCACCTTAAACACCTTTTGGTGTAGGTACTTAGTTTTTTTATAAAGTAATTATCGGTATATTTAAAAAAAAATTCTTTCGGGCTTAAGCCCCCCCCCCCCAAAATGAAATCCTGTATCCGCTAGTGTTCCCTAAAACAGCCCTAAGGCTGTTTCCAGTGATATCAAGATTCTAATCGATCATGACCGGTCGGCACTAGCGGATCCAGGATTTAATTTTGGGAGGCTTTAGCCCGAAAGCTTTTTATTCATTTATATAACGATAATTACTTATAATATTTTCTTTTCAGTATTTTAATTAGAAAAAATATTAACTATCTATATGAAATGGTGTTTTAGTAATTCTTGAAGTCATATTAAATCTAATTACACGAACAATAAATAAAACATTAAAAGATAATTTTTTATTCTATAAAACATGGTTACATTTTAACATTTTGGGGAGGGGAGGAGGTTTCAGCCCGAAAGCTGAGTGTTGTATTGCAACATGACAACAACAGATCACAATCCGGAATAATCACACAGCAAAAGTTAGCCAAGATCACATAGCAACTTGGCTAGGCTGCTATGTGATCCTAGCTATTGCACCCACCGTATTTTCCGGACTTAACATTATCCGACTACCAATTATTCTGGCCCCTCCAAAACTCTCTCACCGAGAAATCGATCGTTGATGAGAGAGATGTGAAACCGTATCTTGATCAGTTCGTTTCTAATCTCTAGATGTTTTACGAGAACAGAATAATGAAATTGTTGGAAATATGACAAAAGATAATTAATAAACACGGTGAATAAATTATTGAGTAAAATTTATTCTTTATATGAAAAAAAAAACTTGATTTCACCCTTCAAAAATCGAACGAACTTATGGATCCACTCAATATATAATAACAATTGTATTTTATTTCATTGTATATTGCTATATCAGATCATCAATGTTGTAAATTTATTAGATAAATACTTTTGTATTTTTTATTAATTTAATGTTTTAATTGTTTATATTAATTTTTAATATATTTCATTTGACTCTTAATTTTGTTGTCTTCATTCCAGAACTGATGGCCTGATGGCCTATAAGTCTGGAAATACTAAAAAAAATCTAGTGGTGAAGTCAGTATCTTCCGGTCTCCGGAATTCCTAGCATACCGCTTAACTTCTCACCTTAATAAAAAATATATTACAATGTTTATTATTTATTTCTGTTACTAAATTTTGTTTTTAGAAAGTTAATCGAGGTTTATGTTGATTTACTAAACCTCCTAGAATGCCCAGTCTGCTTCAGGTATGCTTCCTCCAACGAAGCACCAATAAAAATTTGCACTGAAGGACATTTCATCTGCGGAGACTGTGGGCGAAGCTTATACACCTGTCCTACCTGTAGATGCGAATACAGCAATGTACGTCCGACAATTTTGGATCAGGTAAGTTGTTTCCTATGTTTAAAAAACAAAACAAATATTCAGTTGTTCCGCTTAATTTTATTTATTTCTATATATTGTTATCAATTATCATCTGCTTATTATTTATCGTCACATTGATTTCTTAGCTCATCTCTCATAGGCAAATGCTATAATAAAGAAAAATGACAACATTTGTGCTAAGCTTTTATATTTCAGCATAATTTAAGACATGAAGGAGATTTATTATTGATGTTGGCAGAATGATTAACTCCTATTTCAACATTTTCCAGTAGTGCTTTGAGTTGAAAATCTCTTAATTTTTCAAAATCATGCCACAAGTATTAGTAATTGAAATTTGATGGTAAATATTTCTGCCATACTTTTGAAAAATGTCAAGAATTTTCTTAAGAAGAAACAGAAATATAATTTATACTAACTTAATGAAAAAACTGTTAAAATTGGAGTCTGTCAACTTAAAGGTTCATGTAATTGATTAATCGAGGTGAGTTGAAGATATGGAGACCAGGCTAGAACTGAAGCGGGTTTGTAGTGCCGCTTCAGCTATGTGAGATATTCTCTCTTTATTTTTTAATTTGGTAAGATCTGGTTATTTCTTTTTACACTTCAACGTAATATATATATATATATATATATATATATATATATATATATATATATATATATATATATATATATATATTTCCTTTTTCCGAAGTATTTTAAACAGGCTAGCCAGGTAGTAAGTAGAATATCATTGGTGGGAAAATGGTTCATTTTATTTTTATATTTTTAATCGACAGTAATCTCCAGATATTATTGTCACGTTTGAAGGTCAACAACAGGTTTAAAAAATTAAATTACTTATCATATTAAGTAAATATAACAATATTTTCTTTTCAGTATTTTGAGCTAAAAGACATTTATTAAAAACACTCATGTAATCTCACTGAATAATGACAGCTTTCAAACTAAATAGCTCGTCACATACCTTTTAACGTATAGAATAAACAATATTTTATAATAATTTTCCAGTATTTTTACCTCAAATTGTTTCAAAACAGTCACGGAATCTTAATAACTAATTGGAATCATCAAACTTAAAAATCGGTCCAGGCGTTCGCTCAAAAGATTGTTACGTAACTATAAGTTGTCTACCTAAATACATTACCTCTCTCGTGTCTTTGCCGTATTTTGGCAAAATTTCTACAATTTTACTATTTCAGGGGCCCCCTTTGGACTTCTGGCCCAGGCGTCATTGGAACTACGACACATCCTTTGTAGCTGCAACAGTTTTCATTGAACAATACAATTGAATTGACTGATACAATTGAATTTATTGAATAATTATAACATTAATTATGAATCCTCAAAATGTCCCCTTAATTATTCATCGGAATTTTCACTTTAAATAAATAAGAATAAATTTGTCATTTCACACTGGTCATTATTCAAACTTTTTCCCAGATCATAGAAGCTCTGGCATATCCATGCTGTAAAGTCGGTTGTGGAACTTTGTTGCCACTAAAAGATATCCATTCCCATGAGCTACGGTGTAGTTTTCAAGAAGATGAAGAAATGAAGTGCGATAAAAATATGGTACAATCGCAAAACATTCTAAAGCACATAGAAGAAAATTATTCATCTTTTTATTTGAAGCCTGGAGATGACGTAAGTATAAAAAAAAATATCTTTATTACTGAAGGTTAATGTCATATTACATTATTGATACAACAGCTGAGCGTCAATTTAGAAATAAGAATAGTGAAAGGGGAGTGGATTTCAATCGGAGAATAAAATGGGTGATAGAAGGCTAAATGCTCAAGGAATATTAAGCATCGAGCAATAGGGACTCGAGCTCTTGATTTATTTGTCGGTATTTTTAGCTCAAATTGTTTTATAACACCCACGGGATCTAATCGACTAATTTGAACCATCAAACTAAAAAATCGATTGTTCCGTTTACTCAAAAACAAATACATACATACAAGGAGACACTAGCGGATCCAGGATTTATTTTTGGGGGGGGGGCTTAAGCCCGAAAGTTGTTTTTTTCATAAAAATAACGATAATTACTTTGTAAAAAAAGAAAGAAACTAACTACCTATATGAAATGGTGTTTAAGTGATTCCTAAAGCCCTCTTAATTGTAATTACACGAACAATAATACTTTAAGAGATACTTTTTAAATATTTTTTTCGATAAAACATGGTTATATTTTACCATTTTGGGGGGGGGGGGAGGCTTGAGCCCGAAAGCTCCCCCGTAGATCCGCCCGTGCAAGGAGACACTGATGGATCCAGGAATTTTCTCAGGGGGGGGGGCGCACTTTCCTCCGCTATCCGTTCTCCCACCACTGCCAATCTCCCCCCACTCCTTAGCTGAGTTCCGCGGCTCAAAAGTCCTCTTTAAATGGTTTTAACAGAAGCAAAGTCTATTTTTATTTAAAATAAATTTTATCTAATTTACAGTGAAGTAATCGTTAATTACTTAAATTAAATAGTGTTTAGTTATCAATTTCTATTCACCAAAAAAAACGTGACTTACTTAAAAAGTCACAAAACTTAATTTCCTAATATTCTACTGAAAATCTAACATTTGTTTGTATAAACTTTTCTGTGTTTCTTGAGTTCTGCTATCACTCCTTTAAAAATTTATTTCTACTTACGGGACAGTCTGTATATGGGTTTAGACATGTAAAAAGTTAAATTGCTAATCCGGGTCACCTAGATAAATCTTTTTATAGCCAAAAAATCCAGATTTATCTAATTTCTTTTTTGATGTATTACAACTAAACAAGCGTCAAAGCAAAAAAACGTATTCTTTAAGAAATTAAACAACGTCAAATTGTTCGTCGAACGAGTCGAACCTAACCTTAATAATTTGATTAAGTAATATGGTCGATAACTACAATCAATGAACTCTAATTTTTATCATCATTGTCAAAATCTGAGACAGATTACTGTAAATGATCCTGCAGCTTGGAATTGAGTTCCCTAAAAAAGAAAATCGGAATAATTTCTGATTCAGATCATAATCAGACTCCGATCAAATCTGAGACCAAATAATTAGTAATTCTCTAGTAATTAGTAACCTCCAAAATTGTGTTGCCTTGTTGCAACAACTCCTGTAAATAATAAACTTAGGATCGCCCAAATAATGTAAATATTGTAATTAACGTGAAAAACAAAATTAGGAATAAAAATTTAGTTTACTTGTTACATAAAATTTCCGATTGCTAAACGTTCTTAGAGCTTGATTATATGACATCTTATATGTTTCAGGTGGCTGAACTGGGGCTGTGCATGAATTGTTTATCTGTTGCTATATTTTCTGAAGATGATGACATATCATCTACTAATCGCTTTGATAATAATCAGGAAAGCAAACAGAATCTATCAAAAACAGAGGTTTGTTTCTTTTTTTTAGTTTGTATGATTTGAGAGTTTTAAAAATCAAACCCACTTGGAAATTGTTTTATCTCGAATAATGATTTAATTGAAATTAAATTCATCAATATTGAGCCAATATTGAGATCGTTATTGAGCCAGTTTGGAAACTGTACTCTGTTATTCAACCTATTATTTTTTTTTTAGTATAAGTAATTGCAGAAAATCGTTGGAATCCAGTAAAATTTGTCATTTTAGTATCCTGCAACTTTTTCAGGTTTTATTTAAATGATTTTAAAACCGATAGGTTTATCAAATCTTTAATATAATTATTGGTTCGTTTGGAACAACATACCTATCCATTTGTTTACCAAAAACCTTACTAGCTGCTCTAGCCAGAATGTGAAAGAAGGAATTTATTTCGTGGATTATGCATCAAGCCCAAACGCCACAACGGCTCATGTGGCTTAATTAAGCTTAAGTTATAAAACACGGAAAATTCCACTAATAAATGACGAATACATACCATATCCAAACTTAATTATATATTCATATATTTTATAACGTTCCATAGGAAGCTGCGATAATCAACGCCACGACAACTACTGTGCTACAATCAGCAGAGGAAAACAAAGGTAATTGAAGTATATACAATTACTGTAGAATATATACAATGTATATAAATACAATCTTCTGAAGAATTTAAGACCAACAACATAAAATAATTGATAATAATATCACTGTGCGAGAAATATTGCACAATTTTACGTGATTGGCAGTCTCACACGATCCTCGAAAAATATGGTACTGCAATCGAAACGAATTACGCGGTGCTGTGGGATGATAGAGTATCTCTCTCTACAGGGAAGCAGAGCTGCTGAATTTTCCTTTCAGATTAGAATTAGAATGATTGGTTCAAATCACTAGATGATCCAGGATTTAATTTTTGGGGGGAAGGGCTTCAGCCCGAAAGCTTTTTTTCATAAAAATAACGATAATTACTTTGGAAAAACAGAAAGATACTAACTACCTATATGAAATGGTGTTTAAGTGATTCTTGAAGTCTTATTAAATGTAAGTAACCGAGTAATAATACTTTAAGACATAATTTTTTAATATTTTTTACCATAAAACATGGTTACATTTTACATTTTTTTTTGGAGGGGGGGCTTCAGCCCGAAAACCTTTTCTCCCTCCCGTAAATCCGCCTGTGGTTCAAATGCCAGTAGAAATCGATACCGAGAGGTTTTGAAATACCTGCTGATCAACATCTAGGGCCCGAACCAAGGCGGGGAGACCTGCTTAATTTTTCATTCTTCCTTTACGTTCATCCGATAAAACCTCAAATATTCGGTCAAGCATATCTTTACTAAAATCTTTCATATGCCTTACTCAGTTAAAATACTGTGCAGTTTTCATCAATGACTGGAATCCTAAACAGTTTTGAAATTGGTTTAAATCACATTGACAAAAACGCTGTGTTCTACTCACTAGCGGATCCAGGATTTAATTTTGGGGGGCTTCAGCCCGAAAGATTTTTTTATATATATATATATATATATATATATAAAACGATAATTAATTTGAAAAAAAAGAAAGAAATTAACTACCTATATGAAATGGTGTTTAAGTGGTTCTTGAAGTCCTATTGAATGTAATTAAACGAACAATAATACTTTAAGAGATAGTTTTTAATATTTTTTTCTGTAAAACATGGTTATATTTTACCATTTTGGGGGGGGGGGGACTTCAGCCCGAAAGCCCCCTCCCGTAGATCCGCCTGTGATTCTACTATTGGCTCAAATATTTTCCGTAAAGAAACTATTTAATCAACAATTGAACGCTTTCGTTTAAAATCAGATTGGTACCCAAGATAATTTTCTCGGCATATTCCGTGATTCGATAACTCCGAATTAAAATTAATATTTAAAAAACATAATGGAAGGATTGAGATTCCTCTATTGTTATTATAATCCGTTCTCGGCCTCTTTTTATGAGTTGTAGCATTTTTTTAATATTTTTAGATATTCCAGCTTCTTATCATTCCTTGATTATTATTCTAGTAACATAGTCGATTCCCGCTGCTTTAAGTATTAATTTTTTCGTTGGTTGTTTTGACTTACTTTTCACTTGGTTCTTCTATTAATAGTTCACCAGCTCATTATCCTCATAGGTCATTATTAATCTGGGCGTAGTCATGGCAATTGTTAAAAAGAGGAACGATTGATTTATTTTGGACGATTGTAGTTGTGGGAATTACTATTTATTTCGTAATTAGATCTTTTCTTAAAGTTGAAATAATAAAGACCTAACTGTTACTGCAAATCTTTTTTTCAAAAATTAATATTTCATTTGTATTGCTAATTTATTTTCAATTTTTTCAACATGAGTAAGAGAAGCAGCTGCTCAGTATCATCCCCTTCTGGATATACCCATACCGCGAATTGATTTTTAATTGAATGGATGTTTAATTTTTCTTTATTAAAACTTTCGATGAAGAAAATGTTTTCTTTTTTTATTGTTTATATAAAGTATTTATTAAAGTTAAGCAATTATTAGGCCATGATCTGACTAACATTCTGGCACACAATAAGATCTCTAGTTAATTGTACTATTTTACTATCTGGTTTATCTAGTGGGGTATCTAGACCACTAAGGGCATAGATGGATTAATGTTTGCGAACGTCTAAAAAAAAAAAATTTTAATTAAATTACAATTTTTTTTTTTGAAAAATAACGTTTGATTGAAAAAAAGTACATAATATTTTGGTAATAAAGTTATTCTTTAATTAAACAAAAAAATAATAAGACCCCTTTTGTTGGGCTCCTTAGTATGTGAGGTGTGGAGTGGACTGCCTCCGAAGCCCAAGGCACGCCACAATTGGTTGAAGCGTGACATGATCGATTTGATTTCATATCTGAAAATCCCATGATGAATATCTTTATCCAAATTACTTGTTGTAAATAAATTAATTTATTTTTTTTAAGAAGTTTTTATTTACAGAGATTTCTTGTTTGACAATTAATGATAAACAAACAAAGGAAATAGGAATCCAATGCAATCTCTAAATATTCAAGAATGTAATTTTCAAGTGCTAAAGTTAATATAGTTAATAGGAACAATGCTTATATATTTAGTAAAACATATTCTGTGATACTTTCAATACATGAGATATCTATATTATTAAGCTTAATAAATAAGAATTTTCATATATTGTTAATCTGTAGGTCTTGTACTATGAAATAATGGCCTATAAAATATTATTTTGCTTCATTTGTAAAGTTTTGATGTCCATATTATTAAATTTTTGATATTTTGATGAATTTCAAATGCAATATTCAATCTCATAGTTGCAAAAATTAAACAAACAAATAGATTTTTTTAAAAATGATTTAAATTCACTCGCGCAGGTACAAATTGTATAGAATATAAATAAATAAATAAAATAAAATTCACTCAAAAATGCAATTGATTTAATGTTGTTTCTTTTTTGCATTGTTTCATGTTTTTGTTTTTTAAAATAAAGTGTGTATGATCCTAAATTTAGTTATGAGTTCATCTATGGCATCAGATCCATCTCTAAAAGATGACATGAATTTAAGAATGTACCCATATAATAGATTATTGAATTTTTGTTTAATAATAGTTTATCTGTTATTTGGTGTTGAATTCTATTGGACCAATTAAGTTATATTTTTAAAATTGTGTTTAAATCATGTAAAATATGTATCTTAGAATTTATGACTGATATAAACATATATTCAAGTAAAAAGTATTTTTTTTTAATAGTCTTTTGTGAACATAAATTTAATAACAATGATACCTTTAAATCTACTAAAATATATATAAGTTTTTTCAAGAGGTATATTAAATAATCGTTATCAGCTCATTATTGGCCAATGAGCCAAAAACAAATTAATTAATAATAATTTTGATTACAATGGATGAAATTATTAACATATAATTTATTTAAAACATCTAATACATCACATGAAAACACAAAATCCTTAAATAATACTAATTTATTAATAAATTGCACAACTCCATTGATTTACTAACATTAGAAAATAATATCATAAATAATATGTTATGTTTTATACTTAATACTAGATTGGCACTTTCAAAGTTTATAGTAAAAGATATTTTATGGTGGATATTTTTTTAATATTATGACAGCTCAACTGAAATTTTGAGGATAAATCCTTTTGTGGAGATTACAATAAATTTTACTTAGTAAAGAATAATTTATAATAAGACGACAATTTAAAAAGGCAAAAAAGCTTGTAAAATACATTACATTGGTCTCACAATGATTAAATCAGATAAACAATCCTATATAATGTCTATATACAATGTAATAAAACTTATACTATTATAAAATGTATTTCTAAATATTTTGCTGATAAGGGGTCTACAGCAGACATTAAAATATATATTTATTCTTTTCTAATTTTTTATCTTGCATTTTATAACAGTGCCGGCCTTTGACATTTTGTGCCCCTGGCAATATTGTCATTTCTCCAAAACAATTTAAATTTATTTCTTATGCTATTTTATATTACATAATATTTTAATTGTATTTCACTCAATATGTCTCTGATTCGGTTGTTTTATTAATGGGATGAACTTAATTTATCTCATAAGCTTTGTATTTTTTTTTATTCCCAACAAATGATGAGTGTCACAATGTATGGCATCCTGCAGTGTATGCCCTGCCCTAAAGCCAGCGCTGTTTCTTTTCTAAATCAAGTATTGAATCCTAGACACTTTGGTTGTAGTGAAATAAGTTAACAAGAAGTTATTTTTTTGTCAACTATATTGATATAAATATTAATGTTATTTTGAAAAAATACAAAATTTTTAAATATATAATTAATCTATAAACAGTTTAGGACTAGGTCAATAAATATATTTTGTTGAAATTGTGAACAAATTACGCAAGAATACTGTACTTTTAAACTAATCTATCACATCAGAATAGTCTATTAAAAATATATATATGGTTCTACTTTTTCATTTTTAGCTTCATTTTTACTTTATATATTTTAGCTAAAAAATACTCCATTCCACTAGCATTATTAACACTATACTCTACTTTAGAAAACCTAGAAGAATCATCTAGTATAATCTCATTA